CCTATACACGAGTCTCCGGAAGTTCAAAGGTCCTTGTGCACCAACCTCAAGGAGTGTACCCTTATGCGAAGAAGAACAAAGGAAGGGAACCCTCAAAACAGTAGACATTTCCCAGGCCCTTTGCCATGTTGGCCTTCGAAAACTTGCTGGTGCCATAGGTAGGAATGTGGGAATGAACCTAGGCATTTCCTTAAAGAAAAAACCGCCAGTTCGATGGTTTCAATCGGGGTCATTCCCTGTCTCATTCTCCACTTATCGCACCAGCAAGAAAGGGAAACCACAAGGAATATTGCTCTGGGGGTGTGAATTTCCTTGCTTTTACGATACCCAGGTGGAACAAGCAACCCCCCTCAAATAGTTTCAGGATCTCTTTGGGCCCGGCCCACGTTGAACCCTACGGTTTTGCCGTGCCCCCAGCGCAGGTGGAAGCGGAGCTTCCCATGCCGCCCACCTGAAACGATCGACATCCGCGTGGGAATTTGTCACAACCTCACAAACAAACAAACAAAACCAACAAAATCTCGCCTCGCCTCGCCTCGCCTCGCCTCGCCTCGCCTCGCCTCGCCTCGCCTCGCCTCGCCACTCCACTCCACTCCACTCCACTCCACTCCACTCCACTCCACTGCACTCCACTCCGCTCCGCTGCACTCCACTCCACTCCACTCCACTCCACTGCACTCCACTCCACTCCACTGCACTCCACTCCACTCCCCTCCGCTCCGCTCCACTCCACTCCACTCCACTGGACTCCACTCCACTCCACTGCACTCCACTCCACTCCACTCCACTCCACTCCACTCCACTCCACTGCACTCCACTCCACTCCACTCCACTCCACTCCACTCCACTCCGCTCCGCTCCGCTCCGCTCCACTCCACTCCACTCCGCTCCGCTCCGCTCCGCTCCGCTCCACTCCACTCCACTCCGCTCCGCTCCGCTCCGCTCCGCTCCGCTCCACTGCACACTCCACTCCACTCCACTCCACTCCACTCCACTCCACTCCACTCCACTCCACTCCACTCCACTCCACTCCACTCCACTCCACTCCACTCCACTCCACTCCACACCACTCCACTCCACTCCACTCCACTCCACTCCACTCCACTCCACTCCACTCCACTCCACTCCACTCCACTCCACTCCACTCCACTCCACTCCACTCCACTCCACTCCACTCCACTCCACTCCACTCCACTCCACTCCACTCCACTCCACTCCACTCCACTCCACTCCACTCCACTCCACTCCACTCCACTCCACTCCACTCCACTCCACTCCACTCCACTCCACTCCACTCCACTCCACTCCACTCCACTCCACTCCACTCCACTCCACTCCACTCCACTCCACTCCACTCCACTCCACTCTCACTCCACTCCACTCCACTCACTCACTCACTCACTCACTCACTCACTCACTCACTCACTCACTCACTCACTCACTCACTCACTCACTCACTCACTCACTCACTCACTCACTCACTCACTCACTCACTCACTCACTCACTCACTCACTCACTCACTCACTCACTCACTCACTCACTCACTCACTCACTCACTCACTCACTCACTCACTCACTCACTCACTCACTCACTCACTCACTCACACTCACTCACTCACTCACTCACTCACTCACTCACTCACTCACTCACTCACTCACTCACTCACTCACTCACTCACTCACTCACTCACTCACTCACTCACTCACTCACTCACCACTCACTTACACACCCACACACACACACACAGACATGTGAGATGCGGTGTTCCTGAGTTTCAGGCTCGGCGACTTTTTTTGGGGTGGCTTCAAAGAAATGAGGTGTTTGTTGAGGGGAGTCATTCAGCACATTTTGCCCAACCCTTGGTACTTAGGGGTTTTCAAAGGAACAGCCCACTCCTCTGTAGGGAAACCAAAGAAACCTCAAACCAGTGATAAGGGGCCTCTCTCAGCAGACCTGAGAGAGAGCTCCCGTGGTGATGTTTCCGCTTGAACCGTGACCTTGAGGAAGGCATTGGCAGAGAACGCCGGGCCAGAGCGATTCTCAAAACCAAGCCACGGGGCCCCGCTTTTTCCTTTGGCGTTTTCGGTCTCGTAGTTGCACTGAAAAACAAGGAGCTTCACAGTTTGAGTTGTCCAGGAAATTCACCCAGTGACCCTTCCAACAAGCCTTGACCTGCAAGACTGTGTCAATGTTTCGGGTTCTAGCACGTGAGGGTCTATTTGCTTCATATTGACGATCAATCACAAACTTCGGCTGATCGCCGGGATCCGCTGTGCTCCCCACTCCACTTCACCCTGCAATTCAAGTTGGAAAGCCCCTAAAGTTGCAACGAGCAACAGCAACGGTTGAACAGAGCGTGGCAAAAGGCGCCCGGAAAACAGAGGTCCCTGTGAAGCATCGCCTCCAAAGGAAACTCACTTCAAAAGGCACCAAAGGGAATGATTCATGTTGACCCCACAATTGAAAAAAACGGTTCTATTGATGTAGGGTGTTCTTCTCAAGCGATGCATCCTCACCTTTTCGGGAAATTCCCCCCAAGCAAAATCCACCAGAGTGGTTAAAATCCCGAGCTTCCTACGGAAAAACCACCCGGAAGCAAACCCCGCCTTCCCCGGCCACCTTCCACGCCCGCCTAACGAGCCTAGCGAGAGATGCAGGCCGAGGTGGGGTTCTTGAGGCCGAACCAAACATGTGAAGTCCATGGAAAGATACCGCAATTCAGCTTCCCTCTCGCTGGTGATTGGTTTGGATTGGTCTTTTTTGTTGAGTTTCCCATTTGCCCTCTACAAGACCCAGGTGTTCAATTCCCCAAACCACCAATCCAAACCACCAACTAAGGGTTACCTCGAACAAGGTGTCCTCAAAAAACAACACATCAAACCGCAGGTCCCCGAGAAAAACATCACCCCATGCAAGGCCCCCAGTTCGCTCCCGGAACCGTTTTGGCCCAGACCAAGACCTCAGCCATTGCTCACATCTTGTAACTCGAGCTGTGCCAGCCGAGGGCGCAAGGCATCTCCAAAGGCAAGTCACTTCGAAGGGCCCGTTCAGTTCACCCCTCTGCAAGACTTGTTGGTGCGATAGGGGTAGGGAATGACCGAGACCGGGTGTTGGGAATGAACTGAACCCACAAATTCCCGAATGAACGAAACCAGAGGTTGCATGGTTCTGCCTGGGGTCATTCCTGTATTCCTTATGGAACCAGCAAAACGGACTTGTCAAATTGGCCTTTTCACAAGCTGTTCAAAGTCCAATGCTCGAACCCCAAAGGTGAGCGGAAACATCGGGAACCCTGCTCTCCCCCAGCTGGGAAGCATAGGCCACCCCTTGGTGAAGGCTGAAGCCTTCAAACAAACTTCTTTGCGGCTGAAATTTGGTCCTCCAACGAAAAATAACATGTCCACAAACCGAAGAAAGTGGCGGTCGGTTGGGCCGCCCGGAGCTTCAGAGGGCAAGGCTTTTGGCATCAGAGGCGAATCCAAGACGGAGCTCCCCCCCCAAAAAATGAAAGAAAGAAGCAAACCACCTTGATTCATCGCCATAAGTTCACCCATGGGCCCTTTAAAGCTGATGGTTGAAACCCAAAGAGCTGGACACCTAGAGATCACGTCCGGGAAAATAAACAACTTGGAAGGACCTACCCAAAGCCAGAACCAGCTCCTATCTTTGGAACCCATGGTATGCAAAAGGTAAAAAAGGAAATCGGGGCCCATCCACGATTCCATTTTCGACCTCCCCCCTTCTCCCAATTCCATTTATATAAGGGCGTGTCTCAAAATCCCCGTCGAATGGTTATGTTCACTTTGGATTTCTCTGCAGGGGGGCGTCCCCGAAAAAAAACACCAAGCCCACGTGCGGGGATCTCACAACGCGATGCGGAAACCAGCCTCCCGGCAGAAGCAAGCTGGGCCAGCCATGGCAGTTCTCCAAAGGTCAGTGGAGGCGGCTTGTAGTTCAGATGGTTGATATCAATTCTGGACATGTGTTTCATTTCAGCGGCTTGCGGCACTGAGATGGTAGGCGTATGTCCCCAAACACGACACGTAGAAACCCATACAAACCTGGAAAACGAAAATGGGGGCGGGGCGATGCCTCCAGAGGCCACTGGGTGGGACCCCTGAAAACGCCTTGGTTTTGGCAGGTGTTTGGATTGTCCATAGACTTTCCTGTGCGTCTGCGAAAATCCAAACGGAGTGTTTCCTACAATGGGAACCCCTTTTGGCCGATTGCTTCGAAGGAAAATGGCGCCAACCCGTTTTCGCCCCAAACAAAATGCGGACCCAAACAGCGGCCCCAAAAAAGCACTGGCTGCTTGTCGGCCGTTTCTCTTGACGTGGTTCCAGCCATCTGCAGGCTAAGCAAGGCGCGGCGCGGATACAATATCTAGGTGCGGAGGGGGTGTCCTTTTGCATGGTCTAAAAGGGCTTCCACAACCTCCAAACTGGAAGTTTCGTTGTCTGTGTCTGTTGCATTCGCTGTGGGTACCACAAAGGGAGAAAGAAAGGTGTCGGCATGAGCAACAGTCCACGTACAAGTCCAAACCAGAGCAAATGCGTAGGTGTCTGTCTGTCTGTCTGTCTGTCTGTCTGTCTGTCTGTCTGTCTGTCTGTCTGTCTGTCTGTCTGTCTGTCTGTCTGTCTGTCCGTCAAGTCCATCTGTCTGACTGTCCCGTTTCGTTTGGGCCCTGGATCCACCCCCTAATAGGAGAAAAGTGTTGTTGGGGGGCCACCCTTTTCGTCCGAACGGTGAACTGGGCTCCGAGTGTGGGTCGCTAGATTCAAAAAACATGGGGCGGCTGGGAACGTCAGGTTCTGCTGTTTGATAAAACACCAAAAGCTTCTGTATGAAAGGATCCTTCGCCATGAGCTAAACCGCTTGCGAACCCAACCCTTGAAGTCTCCATCATTTGCCCCAAACTCACTTCGCGCCCGCGTTCGCTCCTCTTTTCCTTCCCGGGTGGGAAAACTGCAGCTTGTTTGCTAGCGCGCCGATTCGCGACTAATCCTCCGGGTAGTACCAATGGTTTCTCACGCCGGTGGGCAGCGCTTTCTCCTTGGCGTTGTAGCCCTTGTACACGTCCGAGCCGTAGGCCTGCAGCAACGTCACTGGCAGCATCTACTTAAACGACCAAAAAAACGGTCCCCTTCAAATGGGCCTGTTGTTGTTTGGTTGGGTTTTGAAGGTCCAACCTCAAAAAAAAACGAGCCACGATGAGCCACGCAAATTCAAACCAACATGAAATTCCGCTTGGCCCCCTAGGGTTGTTGAAACAGTGAGCATTTTTCACCCAGGCCTTGGCCTAACCCTGGCAACAGCAAGCTCACTGCCAAAAACTCTTACTGCGGTCCTGGGAAAACCATATTCTCCAACTTGCTGGGCCCGGGTTCACCCAGAGCGGCAGGCACCGGCAAGGGCGCAAAAAAAACAAACGTTTTTGGTCAACGTAACCCCCACAAATTTTCGCCAAGGTCTAAAAAAGGGACCCTGAGACGTCGTGTTCAACCCCCGTTGCTCTTCGAACGTGGCCGAAAACCTGCCAAGAGAATGCTTTGGAAGAGCCGAGTTCTGTTCAAACTGAAGCCGAGGGAATCCATCTATTTTCAATCTGGCGTCTTTCAGACATCTTGAAACCTTTGGTCAGAGCTCCGAACCTGCGGGCCCTTATCTGGCCATGGTCCTTTTGATAAAGACGAGATCTGGGGGGCTTGAAGCCACGCAGTAAGTTGCAGTTGTTCTGCTGTGTTCTGTGGGGCCTTAAGACTTCAACAATGCATGAAGTTTGCAGCAGTGACAACTGGGGCACACCGGCTTCCAAACCAACTCACTTTGTTGCAGCCGTGGGAATTTTAAGCATCAACTTGGGCAGAACCCATTCACTTTGCTGTATCAATCCGCTAATTTTGCCGCAATTGCAACTCTGACCTTGAGGCTTCAAAGGGCGGGTGCTGAAAGAGTGTGGTATGACTATAGGGCCCGAAAGAGTCAGAAATGAAAAGCCCCCGCCCTGCTGCAGAAGCAAAGCCAAGCAAGCTTTGCTCAAACCTGAATGGCCCAAAACTTCAATGCGCTGCAGCCAGCTCCTATCTTTGCGCAAAACTTGCGGCGCGGGTTGAGTGTCGGCAAGTCGAGGTCACAACTAACCGTAGGCCGTAGCCGAACGGCTGCGATAGATTTACGTTGCTGACACGCAACCTGGCTGCGGCAGCACCGCGACATTCAACTTCATGGCTGCTTGCTCTTGCCCGCAAGCGTTCGAGCTGCGCGCGAGACAATCGAAGCTAAGCAGGAAGCACCTGCGCAAGCAAAACCGCTTCCTGCAACTCGTCCGCGAGACGCGGTTCCGTCGAAAGCGGCTCCGTCTCGCGTAGAGAGCCGATCTCGCAAGCAGCACCGTGCGACCAGTTTGGCACGAAGCCTTGGGCCACGCAGGCTGCAGCCAATTTTGCCTTGGTTCTCTTGCGCAAGCTGCGTCTTTGCAAACTGCAGGGCCAGCTGCAAAGCAGACTTGGTCAGCTTCGTCAAAACCGTGCGCTCAGCCTCGAAAGCCTGCACTTGTTCCGCGGCTCCACGGGCAACGCGCTAGGGTTGCCATGACCCACATCATCTGCCCAAGAGCAGTCCCAAGACACGTCCAAAAACGCCCCAAACAAAGAGGAGACGCTCATCACTTTGGTGTACACTAGGCCTCCAGCCGCATACCCAGCATCAATGGTCGGCGGCTAGCTCTTGCTCCTTAAGTGTTCAATTTTAAGCAGGCAGCGCCTTTGCAAGCAGACCCGTTTCCGGACGCCCCTCTGCGCAAGCGGCAGGTGCGTCTCGCTGATGCCGGCTTGTGCAAGCATAGGGCCTGGCTGCAGCGTATTGAAGCTCCAGGCTTCAGCCAACCCCGCTGTGGGTTTCCTAGCGCAGGCTGCTTCTTCACAATGCGCAGCAGCTGCGCAAAGCAGCTTTGATGAAAGCCCTGCCACGTTTAGCGTTTCAAGGGCAATGCCAATTGCAAGGCGCTTGGTGGAAGGCAGATCACCCGCATCACCGCATCATCAGGGCAAGCCCGCAGCGCCCACAAGCCTAGGCAAAAACAGCCCCAAAACGCACGCGCCAGGCACATGATGCAGGTGATGCTCACAGTTTGTATTTTCACTGAGCCTCCAGCCGCATCCCCAAAGGGCGGGCAGCCCCATAGAGGCCAGAGTTTTGCTCCTCCGGACCAAGGTGGTAATCTGACACAGCCGCGCGGCCAGAGTTTGCCCACGCCGCTGACCTTTGATGCTTGTCACCTGCATTCAGCAGATGATGCGGGCAACGCTGGTGATGCTTGGGGATGCTGACCGGGGGCCTGTCTTATACGGCTTTTTCGTGCTGACAACGCAAGGACGTGGGCACGGGCTGCTCGCCAGGCGCTGCAAACTAGGAAGAACCCTGGCAGGCGTTTCCCTTGAGAACTTTTTGCACGCTGCTTTGACGAGGCTGACTTGCGCAGCAGCTGGCCCAGGAATGCGCTGCGTGACACCGCGCGCGTAAGCGGCTCTCTGCGTGCACGAAACGTGTCCGTGGAACGCCGTCTCGCAGATCAGTTTGTTGAAACGGCTTTGCGTTTGCTTACAAAGGCGCTGACTGCTTGGCTTGGAGTGTCTTGCGCTCAAGCTCTGACAGCCAAGCAGCAAAAGCCGGACGAACTTTTTTAAGAGCGACAATCGTCTGATCTGGCTGCTGTCTCCGCCGAATTCTGCATGACCCCAGGCCGCAACATCGCCGGTTTGGAGAATGGCTGCAAATGCGCCACGAAGAGGACCACTAGTTGACTGGATTTGCTGAACGTTCCTCAGCTGTTCTTGTGCCTGGCTGCTGTCTCCGCCTTCTTCTTGATTACCCCAGGTCACAACAGCCCCAGATTTAAGAATGGCGGCAAAAGCACCCATAGTTGCTTGGACGTGCTGGACATTCCTCAGCTGCTCTTGTACCTGGCTGCTGTCTCCACCTTCTTCTTGATTGCCCCAGGGCACAACAGCCCCAGATTCAAGAATGGCGGCAAAAACACCGCCAGTTGCTTGGATGTGCTGAACGTTCCTCAGCTGCTCTTGCACCTGGCTGCTGTCTCCACCTTCTTCTTGATTGCCCCAAGTCACAACCGCCCCAGATTCAAGAATGGCGGCAAAAGCACCGCCAGTTGCTTGGATGTGCTGGACGTTCCTCAGCTGCTCTTGCACCTGGCTGCTGTCCCCGCCTTCTTCAGGATCACCCCAAGTCACGACAGCCCCAGATTCAAGAATGGCAGCAAAAGCACCGTCAGTTTTTTGGATGCAGTGTACGTTCCTCAGCTGCTCTTGCATCTGGCTGCTGTCTCCGCCACATTCTGGATCACCCCAGGTCACAACAGCCCCGGATTCTAGAATGGCAGCAAAAGCACGGGCAGTTGCTTGGATTTGCTGGACCTTCCTCAGCTGCTCTTGCACCTGGCTGCTGTCTCCGCCATGACCCCAGGTGACAACAAACCCAGATTCGAGAATGGCAGCAAAAGCATACCTTGTTGCTTGGATGTGCTGAACATTCCTCAGCTGCTCTTGCACCTGACTGCTGTCTCGGGCGAATTGTGGATTACCCCAGGTCACAACCGCCCCAGATTCAAGAATGGCGGCAAAAGCACCGCCAGTCGCTTGGATGTGCTGAACGTTCCTCAGCTGCTCTTGCACCTGGCTGCTGTCTCCGCCCCAGTCTGGATGACCCCACGTCACAACCTCGCCCTCGTGCCAATGCCAAGCAAATGCCCTGTCTGTGGTAGCCAGTTTGCCAAGCTGTACAACTGCAGCCACTACATCCCCATCTCGCAAGCCAGCCTCACTCAGCGTGGCCGTCAAATCAAGCTGTCGGCCTTTCGCAGTGAGCTTCAAGCGGCGCTGGAAATGCTGCTGCGCTGCAGCCTTCAGCTCGCTGATGAGTGTCGCCGGTGAAAATGCTACAGAGCAACTATCTCCACTGGGCAAGTGTACATCCACCTTCATGGCGCAAGAAGGATCTGCTGTGTGCATTCAAGTTGTGAAACACAAACCTGAGACGCACAAACATGCACATTGGGCGGCCCGTTTCGAACAGATTAGGAGAATTCCAACCCTTTGCGAGAGCAATACCTGTCTTGAACCGTACCCTCTGTAAGGAGCCTCCCAGCTATCTGACTGGCACGCTCTGAAAGTTGTTCAACTCGATGGCGATCCGTTGGCAAAAAGATCGCAGGGGTTCAAATCCCCAGACCAATCCAACAACCTAAGGCTTGCCTGACTATCAACCCCTGGGGCTCTGACAAAATCGGGAACCCAAGTTAAGTTGAAAAATGTCGGCACTCCCCCCGAGCCACAGTCCAATCGCGCAAGCTGACGAAAGGACATTGAAAGTCTACAGTTCTTTTGACACGGCATCCTATTCACTTCCAAGGTGCAAGAGAGCCTTTCACAGAGGGTACATTGCTTCGGTGAACCAAGTGTTGTTGAGAATCAAAGTGCACCCCCGGGTCTTTTGCTTCTGCATTGCTGTTGGTAGAGAAACCAGTGCTAGCCTGCCACCTAAAAAGTGTTGCTCGCCCAATGTTCAAACCAAAAGGCTGAAAGTGAATGTCGAACCAAAGAACTAAACCCAGGAAGGCGTCCCATTTTGGATACCTCACCGGTAGTAGGAACTCCCCCTATGCCTTCTCCTCAAATCCAGGTCAGTAAATGACAAAAAAAAAAAAAGCAGCCGCCCTGGACCAGGCCAGGAAACAGTTGGAAAGGAGGCGCAAGAAAAAATGAAACCATGACCCATAGGAGCAGCAGAAACACATGTGTTGGGTGTTTTGGGGGGGGGGTTGATGGGCTTTGGGTGTTTGGGGGTGGGTGGGTTTTGAGGGTTTCGGGGGGAGGTGTTGGGAGTTCTGGAGGATTTGGTTGGGCTTGGTTGGGGTTGCGTTTGGTGAATTTTCACATCTTCCCGGACCAAGCCAAAAAAAAGAGAGCCCCCACCGGCTCGCGGCTCGCGGCTCGCGGCCCGGCGCCCGGTTTCCGGCCTTCATCCAGCGCGCGCGGGGGCCCCAGAAGCCTCCTGCCAGGCTCACACCGTCCCGCAGGCGGATCCACCTCGGTGAGGGGAGGTCCGAGTGGAAAAATAGAAAAGGTGTGGGTCAAAATCAAAACACCGGGGGTCACGGGTTCCATTTTGGGTACCCATTTTTGACCCACAGCCATATCTTGCTGGTGAGTAGGGGACCCAATCCGGATTCCCGTAAAGGAAACCACAGGGGATGGCTTATAGGGGGGAATCCCTCAGTCCCTGCTGAGCACCAGCAACAAATAGATGGCACTCGCGCTCTCCCACCAATCAACATGGAGCCTGACGTTCGCCTCAGGTTCCATGTTAATTGCGGGGAGGGTAAAGAATGATCAAACACAAACCAGTTGGAACAATCTGTTCCCAAACGAACTAACCCAAAAAGGGTGCCTATCAGAAGGTTCAAACTGAAACCTTCCAACTGGTGAAAGGGTGAGTGACCCCATGCTAGAGGTGAGTGTGTTTTTCCTAGGGCTGGTTTCCGCAGGGCTGGCAACATCCCAAGCTCCAAAACCAATCCTAAACGAGACCAAAACTCGCATAACCACATCCCAAAAGCAACCCTAAAGGCACTGCTTAACCAGCAGCACACCCAACACAAATCAGCTCAAGGCAACCCCAAATCCACCCAAAGTCAACCCCAAACCCGCCCAACAGCAGCTTGGATGTCAGCCCTGAATCAACCCCTAATGAAGATCTAAGCCAGCCTCAACCCCAGCCAGCCTAAACCCCCCCTAACTCAAACCAGCCCCCAGCAACTCCCAACTGCATCCCAATCAGAACCAATAAACAACCCCCGGGCCAATTGAGGCTGGTTATGCCAGGGATGTGGCAACCAACCAACCAACCAACCAACCAACCAACCAACCAACCAACCAACCAACCAACCAACCAACCAACCAACCAACCAACCAACCAACCAACCAACCAACCAACCAACCAACCAACCAACCAACCAACCAACCAACCAACCAACCAACCCTATTAGGGGGGAAAAAAAAACAGCCGTAGGAAAAACAAAAAACAAAAAAGCATCCGTGAAACCACCCAGGGAATCGAAAGGAGAAGGTGATTCGTTGGAGGTTGGGGGGCATTCATGTCAAGAGAAAATAGGTTGAAACTTTCATTAAACTGGGTGAATCATACTGTGGATGGACAAAATCCTGCACCACCTAAGAAGGCCTGGAATGCTGATTGCCCTGTACATACCAACAAACACTGGGTTCCCATGGTTTCAAAGTCGTGCAGGATTTTGTCCACCAACTGTGTCACCCTCCGACATGCACCAGGACCCCTTTCGGAAGGCTAGGGCAAATCTGTGCACCAAGCCGTCTTTGCGGGAGGGCAACTCCGGGTGCCCCGTTGAATGGGCTCGATCACAAATGTGCTCCGAAATCGGATGCATACACACACATGATTGGAGCCCTGTTATTCGAACCCATGTAATTGGGGGTTCCCTGACAAGAACGGATTCAAGCCACAGGTTCGCCGCAATGGGGGTAGCGGACATCTCAACAGTTGCCCCACCAAAATGGCGTGCACAGGAGCCCTCCCTTGAGGAGTGGTTTCGTCTTCAAAGGGCGAAAAAGAATCGTCAACAGTCACTAATAGGCTGCAATGGCATCCTTTCTATGGCTCTGAGTCAGTTCAAAAGTGGGTGTAGTTTCCTTTGAGTTCCTTGGTAACTAAAACCAAACGGGTGCGCCTCTTGGGCGAAGACTATTATGTATACATGTGTATATATATATATATTAGGTATGGAAGCACACCAGCATAGACCCCAAATGGCATGGGAGATTACAACAGCACCCTGACCACCACTGCACCTTGAGCACACCAACCAGCGCCCACACCAGCACCCGCAACAGCACGGCACCAAGACCACCCAACAACACGCGAACAGCACCCTGACTGCAACGCAAAACAGGCACCGCTAACTGCGCCCTGACTGCAACGCAAAACAGGCACCGCTAACTGCACCCTGACTGCAACGCAAAACAGGCACCGCTAACTGCACCCTGACTGCAACGCAAAACAGGCACCGCTAGCTGCACCCTGACTGCAACACAAAACAGGCACCGCCAACTGCACCCTGACTGCAACGCAAAACAGGCAGCGCTAACTGCGCCCTGACTGCAACGCAAAACAGGCACTGCAATGCAAAACAGGCACTGCCAGCAACCACCCTAGCACCTTGAGCGCACAACAGTGACCAGCACCAGGAACCAACCTGGCCCGAACTCGCAAAACAGCCTGTCCCTCTAAATGAAGCAAGGAGCCCCTTATATGATTATGGCTCCAGCTATCCGGGGACACCAAAGTCAGCCACAAAGGAATGCGCATTTCTCCTTCTACAAGCAGGATTCGCAATCCAAGTGCTCCGGAAATGTAACCCCAAAGAAAGCTGGTGACCTCGCCTCAATTGAAGGACATCCCCTTGTCAAGACTCACACTCCAAGAAAACAGAGAAGAAAAAAAAGCATTCTTCACCGCAGCGCGCTATGAATCCTTCCCCCAGCCAAGTCGGAGGCTTCTTCTCGTCCGTGTACACCAGCTTCACCTCCGAGGCCTCCCGTGCGTCTTTCTTTCGCTTTTTTCGGCGCGGAACTCCGTTTTCTCGTGAGCCAGACCGGGGGAGACCAAAAAAAACGGCCAACAAACGGGCCAAACGAGCCAAAAAAACGGGCTTAAGCCAAAAAGACCGAGCACCTTCAGGGGTTGAAGCACGAATTCTGGCCCGTTCCAACCAAGAGTTATGCTTGTTAAATCTATGAGCGACCTACTGATATCTATGATTGTATCTTACTTTACTTCAGAAGGACAGAAGTTCATGACTCTTACGTGTTTCTGCAAAGCTGCGTGGATCGAATTTGGCTGGGGTGGGATGCTCAATTCTCACCCTCTCTAAAAAATATAAAGTACTTTCAAGGCTTCGGAGTGTGGGGTTGTTCGACCGCGCGAATGACCCAGCCCCTTGCAGGATTCTAGGGGGAAAGGGTTCGCTAAGACCCATCCCCACGCGACTTGGAATCGCGCGGTTCTACATGACAAGCGGGCTGCGGGCTGAAGCGGCGGGTTGAGAAAAAAACACGGGCTGCATGGTATTTGAAGGGGACAGGCATTGAAGCTGGGACTTCCCAAACTCTGGTTCTCTTCTGGTCGGTTTCCCTTTCAAACCGCAAAGGGTACCCTAAATGGTTACCCTCTTTCCAACAATGGAAGTGGACAGGGGCCTTCCCCAAAAAGTAGTCTTCCAAAACCCTCCTGCGAGCTCCCTGATTGTTGGAGGGGTAGTACTGGGGCTCCGTTCAGTTTGCCCTTTAAACCCCCAAGGCCCTTCGTTGCATTTGCCAGCCCAGCTCCACCGCCCAGGGGCAGAACGGGTGTTTTTTGGGGAATTCATGTTCAAGGGAACTCCCATCAACAAAGGGCACGGCAGTAGAGGTCGGTCAAACAGGGCCCCGCAACCTCGAAATCGATGGGCTTCCCCCAGTTTCCCTTGAAACAACCCCAAAGGGGTACCAACAAAAACAGCAAAACAGCAGCCCTGTCCCAATCAGACCAACCCCCCCATTTCCAGCAACCAAAAAGCCGCCTTGCCGATGGACCCGCCGTCCTTTTCCTTGCGGGCCTTGCAGCGGATTCCAGGCCGGGGGCTTCCCCAATAAAACAGCGGACTTCCAAAACCCTGTCAGCTTCATGATTGGAGGGAGGGTGCTTGAAAACCACAAGTCGTGAATATTGAGAAGTGCTACTTGTGATTATGTTGACCCTTACATTACCTCCAGAAAGGGGGGGTTCATGGTGGATTGGGACATCTACCTCGGCTCTGCCGCCAGAGAATGTCTTTTTGCGGATTCCGGAAACCATGAAATTGCGAATATGTGTTCAAATTCAGGCAACCATGTTTCGTGAGCCTGCCGCATACCTTTTGCGGATTCTAGTGAACACATAATTGTGTTGGGATGCTGGCAACCATGTTGTTGTTCTTTTTGAATCTGCGGGGGTGGGGGGGGGGGGGGCGGAGGGGTTGTCAAAATTAAGGGTCCTTTTTGGTACCTTCCAAAGGCGGCGCCAAAGCGCGAGCCTTTTTGGCATCGGTGTTGCAGCTGAAGTGCACGTAGGTGTGCCTCAGACGCAAATGCCCTCCGATGCGCAACATGAATCCAAGGGGCGAAAGAACTAAAAAAATGAGGATGTGGGATACTTCATTCCCAACAGTTAGTCATGACTACGGGTGTCAGAGATCAGTAGGCATTTAGCCCCTCATATGTCTGCCCCAGAATCAATCGACCCCCTTGATGACAAAAGAGGGGAGTCCCATTTTAGAGGGAGTCTTTCACTTGGGGAAACACCCCCCATATCAGCGAATTGGTTTGGTAGTCCACTTGTGGAGTAACATGGAAGCCAAAAAAACAAATCTGTGTGGGGGAAATGTTTAACATGGATTTCACAAAAGTGGGGGGGAGTATGATATTGCAAAAGCCCCCTTTTGGAGTTCCATGTCAATTCGCGGAGTGCGGGTGGGGGGGGGTTCGCCCTGGCGAAAAACTTCATGCCATGGAGAGAGCGATCCTTCATATAAGTCTTCGGCCGTGAAACGCGTGTTGCCATGTAAAAGGGGCCACGATCTCCGTGGAATGAGTTATCGCTCACCAGTGGCGAAAGAACTTCAACTGATTGAATGAAACGCGAAATGGTCGTGCTCGCCCAGCTGCAAGAAGTTGTCCCACCGCACTTGAACTAAACTGAAACCAGCTCCATCTGAGTTCAAGACCTGAAAAGGACAATGTCTTTGCCATGGGCTGAGTATATTTCCCTTGGGTGATTTGAACATCGTCCATTTCGACTGAGCTTCCTTGGGGCGGGTGATGCTTTTTGGGGGGAAAAAGACTGGGAGCCCCTCACAATATCTCAGGACACACGTGTATGACTTGTTTCTGCAAAGCGTGGTTCACCTGCAAATCGAATCTCCAAATCCATGCCCTGTCGATCGACGCGAACTTCCCAGCTGTTCAGCGTGGAGTCTAGGGAAAACGGGCTGTGTCCTAAGGCCCAACAGGCGCATTGCTTGTTTTTATCCTGGCACAGAATGCTTGGTACTCTATGGATTTACTCACAAAAGACGTACAGGCGCATTCACACCCATCGCCATCCAGTGGAGCCAAACTGCCTAGGATCAAACGATAAGGCCGTGGGGACTTCACAGACCTTCCTGGTATCCCAAGTAGATGCAAAACCGTACCTTCTGGCTAACCATCCAAAAATGAGCCAAAAATAGCTTCTAATAAGATTCCACTCCCGCTTTCCCAGGTGCTTTTGCGCAATCCTTCTTTTTGGGAGGAGTTTCAGATTCGAGGAATCAACTACACCTGGAAACAGCAGCAGCATACACGACGACTTCCTCGGGCTGAGTCACAAAAATCCGAGGGAAAAGGCTGAAAGATCTTTTCAGCCAACGCTATGTCCCAAAAGGAGCTCAACCCAGACTAAAGAAAACGCAGGATTCAGAACCTTTTGGCTTTTAATCAGAAGACTTTTCAGAAAAGCCAACGCTATGGCGTTCTGCAGCTTTCCAGCTTGCCATACGTTAGCCCCAACATCTGCTTGTTGGGTGAGAAGGTGAAGCATCGTGAATATATCCGATCCGCTTGAGGATGTGCCGCCTAAGGCCACACTTGAGGATTCTTGAGTGTGGAAAGATTGCGGCAGGGGGGTGCTGTTTCCTTGATGGCCAGATTTGATTCTTGTGCCGTGTTGCAGGCTGTGTCACCGTGAGCTCTTGAGTGTGCCTTCCTTTTGGGGTTTGGGGAGTCTTTTCGCCTGATTGCTGTGGCTTTCAGGCTTGCATCCTGTACAGGTCCTACCTCAAACCGAAGGTGCATGATACCTCATATCGGGGTACATGTCCCCGCAGCAATGAGGACGTTGCACAGATGGTGAAATGAGAAATATTTGCGTGTTTGCCCGCGGCTCACATGGCGCGTCCGTTGTAGGTTTCCGTGGTCACCCCCTCCTCCAATCAATCCAATCAACCAAACTGAAAGACCCAAGAAGAGAAACATCAAGGGGGGAAAAAACTTAATCACCCAAAGAAATTGGTAGTGGTTATGAAAAGAACGATGGAAAAGGAATCAACCCCTCGGACATTTGGGTGTCTGACTTTCTGGTTGGATGTCTGAATTTCTCTTCGCTGTCAAAACCACGCCCCAAAACGCCACCCCAACCCGCAAAAAGACAAGCCGTTCGGGCTTTAGGGCTTTTTGGTTCAAATGGGGCATCTCAAAGGAGCTCAACCCAGACAAAAGGAAACGCAGGATTCAGAACTCTTTGGCTTTTGATCAGAAGCCTTTTCAGAACCCAACATGAGGGACCCCCCCAAAACAGTAATCCGCCAGCTTGATTCCTCCGTTTGCTTGTCCCATTTCGGGACCTCGCCCTCCACCGGGTCCCCCGCTTCACCTCCTCATGGGGCATCTGATGGCCTACGATCACCGCCTGCGACAGGTTCTCCGAAACAGCCCGGCTGCCTCATAGGAAAGTTCCTCCAAAGGATTCTCAGTTGCTTTCTGCTCCCCTGCTAAAATTTAACTTTTAGTGGCCTTTGGAAAACCCAGTAGTTGGCAAAAAGTTAAAGTCCTAACATCCCTTGGCAAAACGCACCAAAGGACGATCAGAGCTAATGCTTCCCCTCAAAACATCACCCCTACAAAGGGAAGCTCGCCTTCAACGGGCAAAAAAGGTGAGGTTTAAAACCACCCAAACGGGAAATGGTCAAAATTTAGGGTAACCCAACGGATTAAAAAGCGAGGGGCCAAAGGGTGCCAAAGGGCCACAACACACATCGTACTTTCTCCCTACCCGCATTAAACCAACCCCTGGTCTCCCTAGATTTAAACATGTTGGGCTGGCCCAACCCTTGCATACCCTTCGCAGAACATTTGGAGAGCGCAGTTTGTGCTTGTGACCGAGGGTGAAAACGCCTGTTGGTGTATCAGTTTGTCCCGAATTGGGGGAGAACCCCAAAGATGGGTTCAGTTGGTTGTCCTCTGATATCAACCCAGACAGGATACCCTCAGAAAAGGACAAGCCCGAATGAGGTTCTGTGAAGTAGAACAAAACCCTTCCCCTGTGCCTTGTGGAACAAACTAAAGCTTGTGGGCTTGCTTTGGCGTACGGCACGATCACGACCATATGAGTGTTTCCACAAATTTGGTACCCTTGCACACTTGCAGGCAATGACCCCTATGAACCATCCCTTGTGGTTTCCTTTAAACAAATGCCTAGGCTCATTCCCAAAACCCTTGTTGATTCCCTACTCAGAACCAGAAAGCAAATTGTTGATTTCCTTTTGCCTCGCCTTCAAACATCCATGTTCCGTCACAGCAGACCCATCCTCCCAAAGCAATTGTTAGAACATCCTTTTGGGATGGCTTCAAAGCAAACCGTTCTTGTTGTTGAGGGGGGGATTCTAAAATAGGGAACCAACAGAGCACCCAGCAGTTACAAGTAAGGGGTTGAAGTTCCTTGCCTTGGACGCCCGTCTTGGTCACCTTTAATCAAGTGATCCCAGTAATTTTACTTGTTTCCCCAAGGGGGAGTTGGACGATTGGGGGGTCCCCCACTATTTGTGGACAATTGGGGTCGGGCCCCCTTATGTCATCCCGAAAATATATCGACAACCAGTAATTGTGTCACTTGCTCATACTGTGGATGGACAACATCCTGCACCTACAGGTACACCAAACTGAGCCCGGAAAAAAAGAAAAATGTTGCCTCCGGCTTGTACTCATCTGTGGTGAAGTACTCCATAACTTCCTCCTCCGAGATCACGTCGTCCTGCGGTTGTCTTCTCTCATAACCAAAACTGCCCACTTTTGCCCACAAAAATGTGACCTGAGACTCTGCACAGCTTCTTTTGTTTCGGCCTCAAGGCTTGCTTTTGCGCGTTTTGCAGCGTGGGAACCCGGATGAAAAAGATACCCTCGTTGATTGAGAGGAGGGTATCCCGCTTTGGAGGGATTCTTCACTTTATTCGGAAACATCCCCCCAAAAATATTCATCCAAGGGGTCCCAATCGGTCATGCTTGGCCTTGCCGAGTGGCTTTATGAGCTTGTCCCAAAACAGGAGTGCCAACTGCTTGGCTTCCTGCTGGCTCAAACAAAGGCTTTACTTGCTGGTGCGATAGGCAGGGAAGGGAATGACCCCTATAAACTATCCCTTGTGGCCGTTCAGGGAATCCCTGGGTTTATTCCCACATTCCCTGCTGAGCACCAGCAAGTTTAAGGGGTGTTCGGGACCCCAACAAAAGACTCATGACACACCCATGAATGTGTAGGGATGAATATGTCTGCCGGATGCCCTCTCAAGCCGGACACCAGGTCATGCGCACGGTCGGAGCCAGGAGGCATTCAGGCTCCAAGTGGTCTGGAGCGAGCAAGTTTCTAGTTGTTTTGGTGAGAATGACAGTGGTCTATTCACATCAATTGGATTACCACGCTGCGGTGCTTCTCATGTGGGCTTTCACTACTGCAATCTGCAGCTTGAGGCAATTCTCAGAGCCAGGGTCTGTAGTAACAAAAATTTTGCGAGAGGTAGCAATCAGGGCCAACGACGATAAGTACTAAGCGGAGCGTCTTGCTCACCTCCTGAGTTGATTGGTCAGAAAAAGCCCTGCTTCTTTGGTTTTCCACCAACATCATCCTCCCAATGGGTTTTAGTGTCGTGAAGCTCAGTCCGCGTAAACTCGGCCTTCCGGGCCTTCTCTAACACTAGGCACGAGTTCTGCAGCCCATCTGGGCATGGTGCACAATGCCAAACTGGGATTCCCATCCTTCTGACGTTATCATATTCAGCGAAAATTCCAGGTATCACAGAAGGTCGCAAAAGGCGAAACGTCTTTCCGTGGGAAGTTCAACATGTAGATCTTGTTCAGCAAATCCCTGGATGCAGAGAGCTGCCACGAAATCTCACTCCTGAAGTTGCCGCTGGGAGTGGATCCGTTCATTGGAACCCACGGCAATCTTTTTCTCAAGTGCCCAAAGCGTGGTGAAATCCATGTTTGTGTGTGTGTGTGCGTGCTTGTCTCAATCTTTTTTCGGAACCCCCTCCAAAAAAGAAAATCTCGCTTTGTTTGGAGTGCGAAACCCCTTTGAGTCAAGTTCGTTTCACCGGGGAAGCTCTGGCCGGCCTCGCCCTCGGGGAAGTTCAGCTTCAGCGTGTGGGACCAATCCTCCAAGTTGGCTTCCTCGATCCACCGAGTCCAGCGCCGTATCAAAACTTCGGGGTCCCTGACAATTTGCGGGGTGTTCCTTTCTGGGATAGAAAAACCAGCCTAAGAAGGGTACCCTCAAGAAAAATGAGAAAAAGACACCCAAGGTGGGTGGTTGAATTCCAGAAAAGAAGAGACAGGAGCCCTTCCAACTGTCCACTCTCTCAAAAAAGGCACACCCAAGTGGGAACATCCCGGTGACCAAAGTGCTGGCCACTTTCTCCTCGCACGCAACCTCCCCACGTTTGCCAAGGATGGCTTCGATGTTTTCCTTTTGATTTCTCTTTAAACCAACCTTAAAAAGGGTACCCGCAAAGAACACACACCCATTCAGGTTTCGTCATCCGTTTTTGCGGACTAGAGGGAATGGTGCCATCCGCGAGTGGCATCCGCATCCTACCCCGAAAGTCAAAGCTGGCCGCCAGCTGAAAACGCAGCGGTCAATCTCTTGCAAGGTAACGTGCAGTTTGCTCGTCTCAAATCCTTTGAACAAAGTGCTTCAGTGTTCAAATCAAAATGCGGTCCAAGGCAATCTTGAGTCTCCAAATAGATGTCATAAGTGGAAGCCCCGGACATGAGGGGAAAGCCGAATACATGATTGCAGCAGGCGGATTGAAACGCCAACCCCAAAGCCAATTGTTGAAGTCTCCATCGAGCATCCGTCAAAGAAAGCACGCTTTTCAAAACAAGGCGCGGTCTCCCGACAACGGCATTAAGATGAGCATTAAGATAAGCAGCTCAAACCAGGTAGGTTCCCACCGGTCAGGTTAACTTCAAATTTGCAGCATTCCAAAACAAGCTTAACAAGATGTTCTTTACCCCCCCCCCTCCCCCGTTTCTCCATGAAGTTCCCCCGTTTATCCACGAAAGTTCCGCGTAGAGCTAGCGATTGCTCGCGCGCCTTTTCTGGCAGCGCGTCTGGGGGCCTGTCTGCAACACGCTGTTCCTTAACAATGAAACGAAGGTCACGAGCACTGGATTCCCACTTGATAAGGCGTTGGGCACGAGCTTGTGTTTTCTCCCAGCGATAGCGATGTTTCGCCGAGTCTCGAACGTCAGTGCAAATCAAGAGACACCGAGTGGGAGCTCGGGAAACCCCAGTCTCATCTTTCTTGATGTCCGCGTGCACTCGTCAGCCCAAAAGGGACAAACCCAGGTTGGGGGCTGCACTCCGGCAATCCGCTCCACATTCAGATTGAGAAGCGGGCCAGCCTGTAGCGAACTGGGGGTTGATCAATATTCCATTTCGGGCCGCAAAATGACCACGGGTAACTTCCCCCGATTCAGTGGTGCAAGGCCGGTTTTTGTGTGGCTTTTCTGGTGGTCATCCCATGTAAAGGACCTTTTGATCAACCCCCAAATGCCAATAGCAACCCTTACATTGGCTATCTAGAATCACGGCACGTGTTTGTCGTTGTTTGAGGGGACCTAAGTGGGTCCCTTTCATTTTCCGTGCGCACCCATGCAACCCAACCAAAAAAACGGAAAAATAGACCGATCGGCTCCCACCTGGGCACCCGCGCCGGGCAGAAGAAGAGCATGGTGGCCCAGGCTGGGATGTCAGTGGCCCACCTAGGAGCAACTGGGCGCTTCTCCACTGGGCGTTTGCTAAAAGTTGTTCACTTTTAGTGGGTCAAATGGAAATCCAACCACTAAACCAACTAAAAAGCTGAAAAGCTAAGGAACCGGATGGCTGGGAGCCGCCAAGTCCACACTTGCGGGTCTTTCTCACAATACTGACGGACCGAATCCTGCACCAGATGGGATTGGTGCCTTCTCCCATAGGGTGTCATCCATCCCACCAAACAATATTTTCTTTAAAACCAGTGAATGACTAAACGCATCACCTGCCTGGAATGCGAAAAAATCGAAAACATAGGCAACCAGGCAGTTTACCTCTCGTTTTCCGAGCGCCGCCGACGAGCGCTGCCGAAGTTTCAACGGCCCGAGCACACCAAAGGCCGCCCCTAAAACGGCTTCGGTCTCCTTTTGGTTTCCCTTTGTATACGTACTGCCAAGCGGTCCACCATTTTGAGACAATTTGTGTGGGCTTAGGGGATTCCCAACAGATATCACAGAAACTGGCAAGCTAAAACACACAAACACAAGCATGAGCCAGCGCGGCGCTTCAATATCCTTCTGTGGCGATGTTGCCCGTGCAAACCTGTGACTTGTTGCAGATGAGTGGGTAAATCATCAAGATCCTAAAGCGCAGAAGGTCAAAGGTCCAACCCAAAGCCAAGACAAGCGGACCCCCGTGGTTTCTACCATTTTCATATTTGCACCTTTTGCGGGCCGTATGGAATGGCGGCATGATGAAAAAAAAAAGGTTCGTATCGGGTCGTTGTTTCTTGTGGAAAAAGTATTCCCCACTGTGGATAGTTACGAATTCCACTTCGCATCGTGAAATGAAACCATGGTTGAAAGTTGAAACCATTGTTTGTCGGTATTTACAGGGAATCGTCACTCCAGGGATTCTGAACGGTGGTGCAGGAATTCGTCCATGCACATCATGCTTCCGGACAATGGCTCTTTCTGTGATACCAAAGTGGGCAATTCCCTTGACTACTTTACCGGATGGAGGGTGCCGGTCATGGTCATAGTGGCCTTAGTGAGACCCTGCGGCAGTATGCAGCAGGGGAGCGTCATGGTTGCTTACATGGGACCCTTACCATGTTGGCCTCATTCCTCACTGATGGCAGCTCAGTTTACTGGGGATGAAGGTCCCATTTTTGGGGTCCCTTTCAAGTCTGCGAATTGCGGTCATTGGCAACGAATTCCCTCCATGTTCCAAGTAAGCCAGTTGCTACGATGCACTTGCAACGCAGGGCATACATGTTGCCCCGCTGAGGTTGCCCTGAAGGTTCCGACCCAGCTCCGAGACTCCGAGACTCCGAGACTCCGAGACTCCGAGATCGGGCGCCGGGCTTCTTGTACCGTTGCTCTTGCAGCTTCGGATGACACCTCACCCAAAAAATAATAATAAGAAAGAAGAAAAAAAAACGGCGCTCGAGTTGGTCCTTGGTCGTTTTTTCCTGTGGGTTCAGGTGAAAAAGAGAGCGACTGGCTGAAAGAAGAAACGATCGATTCCCAGCTTTCGGGCCCTGCAGGGAGAAGGCTTTGTCAAAGCGTCCAAGAGAAAACAGCTCAGCTTTTTTCCAGTTGGTTTGGAGCCCGGAGCCCAGTTAACAAGGGCTTCAAATCCCAAGCCGCCAATCCAAACCTAGGGATTGCCTGGGCAAGGCCATTGCAAGAGACAAATGTGCCAAGGCCACAGCTGCAAACAACTCTTCTCGAAAACTCACTGGGCGCGCCACGGCTTGTGATCTAGTGATCTCTGGCTTGCTATGCCGTTGCAAAGTCTGGCTTCTTTAAGCCTGTGGTGCCCTCCAGTGGCTTCTGGATTTCGGTCTCTTCCGTGGCTCGTAGAATGCAGTGAAGCGCTCTCGGTGGTTTGGATTAGGCCAAGGGTCTTCCCAATTGCTCCAAACAACGAGGGGATGAAACTCATGATGAAACCTTTCATCCACCGACGCAAATAACAATCAAGAGTATTCTGAGCTGATTTCCCGTTTGGCTCCCTTCTTTCAGCACGCTTTTAGTCCCAGTCTGCCCGACCCAGGTCACGTCAGCCCCAGATTCAAGAATGGCAGCAAAATCACCATCGGTTGCTTGGATGTGCTGGACGTTGCTCAGCTGCTCTTGCACCGGGCTGCTGTCTCCACCGTTGTCTGCACGACCCCAGGTCACAATAGCGCCAGATTGAAGAATGGCAGAAAAAGCAGCAAAAGTTGCTTGGATGCGATGAACGTTTCTCAGCTGCTCTTGCACCTGGCGGTTGTCTCCGCCATATTCCGATTACCCCAGGTCACAACCTCACCCCCGTGGCCATGCAAAAAAGAACGCCTGACAAGTGGCAGCGAGTTTGCCAAGCTGCACAAGCCTCGCCCAGCGTGGCGATCAAAGCCCTTTCGCAGTGTGCTTGAATGGGCAGGACATGCTACTGTGCTGCAGCTTGTCGCTCGCTGACAAGTGTTGTCGGTGAAGCTGCCATAGAGCAACCATGTCCCCTGAGCAAGTGCACACCCACCTTCATGGCGTAGGACATTTCTGGGGTGTACTGGCAGAGGAGCAAAAACATATCTCCTCAATTGGGGAGATCAGCCCACTGCCCACTCCCAGCTCCAGCTGTGGCACCACGAGCCAGCCCGGCTGAACTCGGACCGAAAAAGAAGCAAATCATGGGCCTGCCGTTTCGCACCCAACGGCTTTCCCTGCGTCTTGGATGTGCCGCCTTCCACCCTAACCCAAACACCCAAATGCCAAAAGACCCAAATACCGAGAGAATCCGTCAAGTGGAAAGCTCTCAGCGCTGATCCCCATCGGGCGGTGTTCCTCATTCAGGAGATTAGTTGCAACTGTTCTTGGGACCCGATGAAAAACAAAATGCAAAGAGGTGTTCGAAAGATGGGCGCTAAGGTTCCCTTTGGTTTGCCTTTGAAACCATCCAACAGCCTGTCCCCATTGGGCAAAACCAGATTCGGGTTTGTTTGCCCCACCAGCAGGTTTGAAGCTGGACTGAATCAAGAAAGGAGCTTGAACTTGGGAAGCAGTCCGACCCCGACCGCATGTCGCGCGGCCAAAATCCCTGCTCCAGCTGCCTCCAGTCCGTCTGAAGCCAGCCTGGCAGTAGCCAGCTCCTGAGATCCCGTCGACTTCAACACTGGATGGTTTCACCGAGAGGTTCTTCTTGCTCTCCGCGGATTTCCCACGACTTTGTGCCGCTAAAGATCTTCTGGCACAACTCACCCCGAATGTAGAGCGCTTGCGCAGGCAGGTCAGCGCGCGCAGCAGGGAGCGGAGGGAAATCCAAATGCCATTGCCCAGAAATGCTCCAGGGCAAAAATTGATTGTCGTGATATCTCGAGCCAAGCTGCGTAAAAAGAGGGAAGACATTCTGCCCAACACACAAGGAAGCTCGCGAGTCCACAGAAAAGGCAAACCCTGCTCTCCGTCACTGCTCCGGTTGAACAAGAGAAAGGTTGCTTGCTCAACCGCCGAAGGAAGTTTTGCTCAGCCCCAACCCTCCGCCACAGATGCCTGCTTTCCTTTAAATACCCTAAATGCCAAAAACAAGGTCACGTCGGTGATAAGGACCCCGCACTTTTTGGCACTTTGCCAAGTCATGCGTCTCGCGGTGCTTTCAGCAAGCGCAGGGCGTGTGGCCACAAGTTCTTGCCACAGTTTCTGCGCTACATCCATTGGTACAAGTCTGAATACAAAGCCGGGTTCACTGTGCGGTCAACTTTGTTGCACACTTCTGAAGGGGTAAGTCGTTTCAGGTACAACCTATCTATCAGCCGCGTGCCCGCCCTTTTGCCTTTTGAGACGGGGGGGCCGACGAACTCACATAAGATATGTCGAACCGCACTGTCATGCCGTTTGCCAGGGCCATGTTGCGAAAGCTTTTCGCGCCGTCTGAATAGACAGCGCTCCCTTTCTGGATGTACTGCTTCAAGCGCACGCTCTCCAGGTCACGCTTGGACTCGACCGTGGGGCGGCTTCCTGCGCACACGACTTTTGAGGCTCGTTAAAAACATAACCGTTAGTAGCATGGGCCTATTTTCATTGGAAAGCATTGCGCCAGCACGCGGCCGACAATGACAACCACTCGCCCGCCGTCGCCTCGCTCCGCTGCTCCGCAGATCCTGATGCGGAGGTTGAAGTGTTTCGGCAAGGGCTCGCCAGCGTGCCTGGATTTCCACGCGAGCACTTCGCTTTTGAGGTGGGGGTTGCGAGGCGACACATGCAGCAAGCGCAGCGATGTGCCATCGCATTCAACTGATCCCCGCAGCTGCAAGGTGCAAAGAGAGTGGCGTGCTGCTGCAACCATCCCCCCCCACCCCACCCCACCCCACCGAATCATGTGGGACGTGTGGAAAATGAGCAAAACGCTGAGGTTGCTATTGCCGACGTGAGCAAAAACAAGCCCCTTTCAAGGACAGCCAGGGACACATAGTCGCTTCAAACGGAAAGCCCCACCAAAGACGGAAATCGCCTAACCCCGCTCAACTCCCCCAGCAAAACCAAACAAGCCATGAAAACGTAGCCCCTTCCCGCCCACTCCCCCTGCAGTTGGCATTTACTGTTTTACAAGAATTCCCTGCCTGGCAGGCTTTGCGGAGCGGCCGCCTGGACAGACTTTTTGACGAGCGTCTTGCCCTCCAAGCTCAGCCCGGTGAAAAAGAGTGTCACGTTCTTCTGCGGCTCAGAGGCATCTGGCGAGCCGTCTCATGCCATAGGCGAAGGCCGAAGACAGAGCCACAGAGGACGAAAAGGGGCCAAGAGCCAAGTGGAGCACCTCTGCGTGCAGCCGGCGAGGCCCCACGCGACACATGCTCTCAGACGAAGGCTTGCTCTCCAACTGCCGCCTCAGCCCTGCTGCGGCTCCAAAATATCCGCCGCGGCAGCGACCAACTCGAGCACTGACTCCAAGAACTTGCGAATGGCCGCCGTCTTCGGCAAAGTGGAGCGGCTCAGCTTCTAGGCCGACACCGCACCAGGCCATACTTTTCCATGTCAGCCGCAAGAACTTTGTCGCACAAGCCCGCCAAGAAGGGCAGCGTCGGCAATTCGGGATATGGCAGTCCAGCGCAGCCAGAACGATCTGCGCCTCTTCATCGAATGACCATCCCGCGAAAGCCGGAGTTGACCTCTGGCGCCCCTGGTCCAACTCCAGCAAATCCCTCCAAACAGCTGTCCAATTCCGGCGCCGAAATGCGTAAGCTGGTTTCCAAGCTAGAGGGTGGGTGCATGTTTGCTCGATTCCACCTCACCTGGCTGCAAGGGCCAGAACGAGAGCCGGTGGCCAAGCGCAGGTGCAAATGTTTGGGGAATTTGATTGTTTTGTTTGGGGGGGATTTTGCCAGTTTCTAGGGAGATTTGACGGGAGTTGGACCTGTTGTCAGAAGGGATTTGACAGGAATTTGTCCGGGATTTGACCGGAGTTGGACCAGCTTTGAGAGGAGGAAGTTGACCGGCTTCTAGCGGGATTTGATCGGAATTGAGCCGGTCTTTACAGGTATCTGACTGCTTCTAGATGAGAAGTTGACCGGTTGCCATTGGCTTGTAGAAGGGGGTTTGACCAGTTCCGAATTATTTAAAGGGGTTTTGATCGGTCTTTTTGGACTCACTCACTTCAAGGCAAACTAAACCAAGGCGGGCAACGCGAAGCGTTTACAATTAAACAACAAGGGGACCGCAGGTTTTAGTCCATGATTTCCACTTATCAAAGTTCCATGTTTGGTACCTTCTTTTGACCCACAGCCATTTTTGGATGGGTGTTCTTGAGAGTATCCTTTTTAGGTTGGTTTTGAAAGAAAACACCACAGAAAACCAACATTTTGCGGGTTCCCCTAAATTTGACACATACCCATTTGAGCATCCGGAGTCTCCAAAAATCATCGCCAGCACGCGTTGAACGCTCAGTTGTCAGATCTCCAATTGAACATGCCCTGAAGCCATGACAGATTGACTGATAACTCCCAAACCGGAAGTAGGGAAAATCCTCAGCAAAGGTTGATGAGCTGGTTTTGCCGCCAAGTGAGCTCGTTGCAATTTGCCAACATACCGAACTGACAAGCGGTTGGACTTTGGTGACTTGTTTCCAGGCACGTCCGGTTTACATGCATGGCTCAATATATTCTAGTGCCACGTCCAATATCCTTTAGTGCCACGGCAACCCCCTACGTCTGTTGTCTAAATCCCCATTCAGTCTCCATGACCATCCTTGCTGGCCTGTGAAGGATGGTTTTACTATGGCGCCAAAAGATATCGTTCGCATCGACCAGAAACGGAGAGTCGGTGTCTACCACGCAGTTTGCCAAATGCAGGCACTAATTTCAAGAAGTAGACGCTCTTTTCGCTCCAAATCTCAAAGCACCAATATGTCAGTCTACCCACCTCCAGGCCTTGAAAGTTGGCCAAAGGGTGTTACTTAAAATCTCGGGCTCCCCTGACATTGCTGGGCGCGCTTTGGATTTCCCCTGAGATGCTAACCAAAAAAAAGAGCTCGCACCATGAGAAACTCCCAAAAAGAACGTGCTGTTCTCAAAGCAGGTCCCGTCCATGGATGGCCTGCGATCAGCTTCCCTCTTGGTGGGGTTGGAGCGCAGTGAGTTGGAGGGGGCATGGTTTTCCCATTTACCGACTCATTTGCCAGGAGTTCAAATCCCCAAGCCGCAAATCTAAGCCATTGGGTGGAACTTGAGCAAATGGTCATGGTCATCTTCCCGTGAAACTGCGGGCTTTTGAAGGTCTAATCAAAGTTGGAAGTTGAGAGATCCTGGCAAAAGGCCCAAGCGGGCTTGGCTCATGGAATTCTCTCTGAACAAACACCCAGTCAGACATTTTCCAACTAAATAATTTCCCCCTAGCTATGTAATTTCCCCCTAGCCTTTGTTTCTCTACCAGCCAATCTGTTGTCGCCAGCTCATAAGCTGTAAGGACCCTACCAGGGTCTGTCTTGTTTTGATGGCACCCTTTTTGGGGTTGGCTTCAAGGGAAACCAAAGGGAAACCAGCCCGAACCATCAGGCAACCTGTTTGGCGTTCCTCCGCAACCCACTGACCTGTATACTTTGGAACATCCAAGCAAAGCTCCTTCCCCTCAAACACCCAACGCAAACTTGATTAAGATTGGTCCAATCTGTCAGGTCACAACTCAAAGACTGCTCTACAATTAAGATCGTCCAATGGTCCAATACATTGATGTTAAAGGCCATCTTTTAAGGGAACAAACTGCGTGACCTCTTTCTCATGGTTGTGGAAAATCACCCTTCCGTGATACCAACATGAGCCGCTCCTGTGGCTACTTTGTCGCTTGGTGAAGGGGGGTCGAACCCTTGCTCTCACAAACAGGGTGGACTTAAACCCAGGGGTGCACTTTTGGGGAAATCAACCACTCTGTTTAAGGGTTGTCAAATACAACCCTGATCACAGAACCTAGGCCTAAAATCCCGATCTTCCATGCTGTTTCCCTCCCAGTGTGACCCATTGGGGCCACAGGCTTCTTCGGCTTGTTGTACTTGTTCTGCCGGCGGCTACCCCCCTGCATGGCCTCGTGCTGCTGAAGCGCGACAATGTTCGATCCCATCGATTTTTTGCACAACCTACACTCCCCCCCAGGTTTTCCACGGAGTGCACCAACGAGAAGTCTTTTTTCGCTCTCCTTAAAAACATGGCCGTTTTTGAGAAAACCGGAAAGACACCACCGCATTTCTAGCCTAGGCCCCCCTTGTGTTGGCCCCTCCTTGGGGCCTCTTCTGCAAGTCAGCTTTTGCCGTGGTACGACCGGCGCTTTTGCCCGGGTTGGGCAATGTTGCTCATGTCCTGGCTCTCCTTTAAAGTAAAACCGAGCTTGTTTGAGCTATAACCGCTGTTCAAGGGGGTCTGCCCAACCTTTGGATTCGCTACTAGACAACCAGGCCGCGTCCTCCTCACGGAAAAAAGCCTAACGCGCCCCAAACAACCCAGGTCATGGAAGTGCTTCTCGCCTAAACTCATGCAGGTATGAACCTTTGATTGGGGTTTTAACATGGCGGGGGGGGACCATGAAACTGGTTGATGTTTAAAGCAACTGCGAACAAAAAGTACCCTCAAAATCGCCCATAAAGTGAGCCAATGAACAGGCGAGCTCCGGGACCCTGGCTTTTGCGCCGTTTCGGTCCCGTTTGTTCCTTTTCCCACGGAGCGATGAACCCTTCTGCCGTGTTTTTGGCTGTTCATTCTATAGCTTTGTCATGAGATTTGTTAAAAGGTCTGTTTTAAAAGACACAAGCAAAACAATATTGCGTGCAACATTTTACATAATTCCATTCTAACAAACAAGGAGTGTGGGCTGTCCCGACGGTAAGTTGCACGGCCGGTGTTAGGGAGTTGACTCCTTCCAGTGGCCGGGGCGCCTCTCTGTGACTCCGACTTGTGTGGGCAAATTTGTTTGCGACCTGATTACAAGCGCCACAACATGCCAGCTGCCGGAAAAAGAGCAATTTGAGGCCTTGTCTCTTGCAATGCTTCCAGCCTCACTCACACAAGGAATTTGGCCCAGAAGGGCCCGGCAGGGAAGTTGCCTTCCTCTGGAGTTCCATTTGTGGCAACCGTGTGTTGTTGTGTAGGGGAAGATTGAATCAATGTTGTTTTTTGCGGAACCCCGTCTGTTATTGAAATCATATTTCATGTGACGTCCCCATTCTAAGACAAAGCCATATTGGGCCGCGTGCCTCTCCAATTCTTCAGACTCCAGCAGTGAACATGGAAGTATTCTGGAAAGGCCTTCCTAGCTGTCTCAGACATTCTCACTCGCCTAGCGGCTTCCAAGCAATGAAAAATCACCCTCGCCCCGTGTTGTCTGGTTCTTGGAGGAATCCCCGACCAACAGAAAGGGGCTCGGAACCCACTGTTTTTGTGTCAATGCACCCTGCCAAGGCGATGTCACTCTCGCTCTCCGAAAAAGAGAAAGAAAAAACAAGGTTCCTCAGAGGGCTCCACATGCTCGGCGCTTTGAGATGTGATTCGTTTTGTGAATGACCGGCACAGGTGACGAGTCAATGCGGTTGTGATTTTTGCTGCTGTGCGAGGATTGGATTCACATCGGCTGAGGTCACACCGTGTAACAAACCATGTATCAAATCGCCCGAGCGCCCGACAACCAGCGAGTCGTCTCGAGCAATGCTCCTGGCACTGGAGGCTGTAGGCCACCCAACAGCTGTGTCTCCAAGATCTAGGCAATTCAGTGAAGGCTCATTTCTCGAAACTCCAAATAAACATCCACTGCGGCAATCACAGAGTGATGGGGCGCATTACTATAATTCCCTAGCCGAGAAGACTTGATGTGGGGTCTTTTTGCAGTTCCCCTCCCCCCAAAAAAAAAACAAGACGAAGCCCACGAACCCGAATGCACATCACTTTGCGCAAGCCCAAAAAAATAATTAGAGAGATCATTTTGTGGTATAAGCCAATGGGGCTCGCAATCAAGCTAACTGCGCGAACTTTTTTCAGCTTGTTAAACTGTACTTTGCGCGCTCGACTTGTTGCTGCAAAGTTACGATTTTTGATCTGGAGCTGCGCACCTACACTTCGCGTGCTAGACTTGTACTACAAAGTTGCGATTTTCCAGCCGGAGCTGGACAACTACTTCGCGCACTAGACTTGCGCTACACAGTTGCGATTGTCCAGCTAGAGCTGAAAACCTGTACTTTGCGTATTAGACTTGTACTACAAAGTTGCGAGTTTTGAGCTGGAGCTCAAAACCTGTACTTCGCGTACTATACTTGCACTTCAAAGTTGCGATCTTCCAGCCAGAGCTGGAAACTTGTACTTCGCGTACTATACTTGTACTACAAAGTTGCGATCGCGTGCTGTACTTGGGCTACACAGTTGCGATTTTCGATTCTGCTACAAAGTTGCAATTTTCCATCTGGAGCTGGAAAACGGTGCTTCGCGCGACAGACTTGTACTACAAAAGTTGCGATTCCCCAGCTAGAGCTGGAAGCCTGTACTTCGCGTACTTGACTTGTACTACAAAGTTGCGATTTTCTGCTAGAGCTGGAAACCTGTACTTTGAGACAATAGACGTGCACTACAAAGTCGATTCGCTGGAGCTGGAAGCCTGTACTTCGTGCACTAGACTTGTACTACAAAGTTGCGATTTTCCAGCTAGAGCTGGAAACCTGTACTTCGCGTACTATACTTGTACGACAACGTTTTTCCAGCTAGAGCTAGAACCTGTACTTCGCGTACTAGACTTGTACTACAAAGTCGCGATTTTCCAGTTGGAGCTGGAAGCCTGTGCTTGACGCACTAGACTGGTACTACAAAGTTGCGATTTTCCAGCTAGAGCTGGACACTTGTACTTCGCGCACCAAACGTGCACTACAAAGTTGCGATTTTCCAGCGCGTACTAGACTTCTGATCAACACTTCTGAGCGACACTTTGTCTGATCGACTTTTCTCAGCAGCAATTTTGATCCGCGCTTCTGATCCACACTTCTGATCGACACTTCTGATCGACAGTTTTGAGCAACACTGTGGAACCACACTTCCGATTCTGATCCATCCGACCGACACTTCCGAGCAACACTTTTGAGCAACACTTCTGATCGACACTTCGGAGTTACACTTCTGAGCGACACTTCTGACCAACACTTTTGATCCACACTGCTCATCGACAATTCTGAGTGACACTTCTGCGCAACACTTCTGAATTCAGCGACACTGCTGAGGAACACTTCAGACTGACACTTCTGCGCGGGCAACACTTCTGACAGACACTTCGGAGTTACACTTCTGGTCGACACTTCTGGTCCGCACTTCGGATCGACACTTCTGATCCACACTTCTGATCGACAGTTCTGAGCAACACTTCTGCATGGAAACACTGCTGATCCACACTGCTCATCGACATTTCTGAGCGACACTTCTGAGCAACACGGCTGAGTTGACACTTCTGAGCGACACTTCTGAGCAACACTTCATCTGCGCGACACTTTCGAGCCACACTTCTGATCGACACTTCTGAGCAACACTTCTGATGCACACTTCAGAGCAACACTGCTGATTCGACACTGCTGATCGACACCACGATCGACAGATCTGAGCAACACTTCTGATCGATGCTTCTGATCCACACTTCTGATCGATACTTCAAAGCAACACTTCTGCGCAACACTTCTGAGGGATACTTCTGAGCAGCACTTCTGATCGACACCTCTGACCCACACTTCTGGTCAACACTTCTGATGCAACACTTCCGACCGACACTTCCGAGCAACACTTTTGAGCAACACTGCTGATTCGACACTGCTGATCGACAGTTCTGAGCAACTTCTGACCGATGCTTCTGACCAGCACTCCCAAGTAACACTTCTGAGCAAACACACACACACACCCTCATGTAAGCGACGCTTTTGAGCGACACTTCTGAGCGACACCTCTGAACAACACTTCTGGGCAACACTGAGCAGCACGCCTGAGCGACAATTCGAGCAACATTCTACACACATATCTCAGCGACGCTCCTGAGCGACACTTCTGAGCGACGCCTCTGAGCAATGAGCGATACCCCTGAGCAACACTTGTTGAGCACACGTGCTTCTAATCGAAACTTCTGAGCGACACTTCCGAGCACTTCTGGGCGACACTTCTGAACAACACTTTTGATTGACGCTTCTGAGCGACACTTTTGAGCGACACTTCTGAACCACACTTCTGACTGACACTTCTGAGCAACACGTCTGATCCACACTTCTGATCTGCTCGACAGTTCTAGTTCTGAGAAACACTTCTGATCAAAGCTTCTGACAACACCTCTGAGTGACACTTCTGAGCAACACTTCTGAGCAACACTTCTGATCGACACTTCTGATCGACACTTCTGAGCAACACTTCTGATCGACACTTCTGAGCACCACTTCTGATCGACACTTCTGAGCAACACTTCTGATCGACACTTCTGCGCAACACTTCTGAGCGAAAACTCGGAGAAACACTTCTGAGCAACACTTCTGAGCGACACTTCTGATCGACGCTCCTGGTAGACACTTGTGCTGACGGACACTTTTGAGCAACACTTCTGAGCGGCACTTCTGGTCAACACTTCTGAGCGACACTTCTGAGAGAGGTCGCTCGACACGTCTCTTGTCTCAAAATGCGCACCTCACCCCAGCGAGGGCGATTCCACACACCCAAAGTGCGCAGAGGGTTCACTTTCCATTTTCAAAATGTGCACCGTGCCACAGTCAGAGTGATTCGACCCACCCAAATCAAGTGCGCAGAGGATTCACGTTCATTTTCAAAGCGTGCGCCGCGCCACAGCGAGAGCGATTCGACACACCTAAAAACCGAAACTGCGCAGAGGGTTCACTTTGCATTCACTTCGCATTTTCAAAATGTGCACCGCGCCACAGCGAGAGCGATTCGACCCACTCGAAGTGCGCAGCGGGCCCACTTTGCATTTCAAAACACGCACCGCGCCACAGCGAGAGCGATTCGACCCACCCAAAGTGCGCAGGGGTTCTCTTTGCATTCACTTTGCATTTGCAATATGTGCACCGCGCCACAGCGAGAGCGATTCGACCCAATCCCCGCGCCACAGCGAGAGCAACTCGACCCACCCAAAGCGCTGCGCCTGCCACGACATCGGCGCGCACGCTCGAAGGTACTGCGCCTGCCACGAATTCTGCGCGACGAATTCTGCACGACAAGCTCTAAAGTGCTGCGCCTGTCACGAAAAATCACGCTACAGCGACATGCGAGAAGCTCAAAATGCCGCGCCTGCCACGACTTCAGAATTTGACATTCTTGCACCGCGCACAGAAAACTAGCGCGGGACTGTAGCGCCAGAATGGTTTCGACCGATTTCTTTCAAATCTGCGGTCGTGAAAACGAGCCGATTGTACAACGGGGCCAACGAAAGCGACACTCCAGCAAACGCTTGCGCGAGCATTCCAAGCAAAACACCTCAAAACGACGACCCCTGAAACACGAATCCCAGTGCATTTGCAACGCAAACGTGAAGCCTCACGAAACACTGCGCCTGCGCAGCGAAACGACACGTCGAGCTTCAGAAGCTACGATTCGCGCACAGGGCCAACGAAAACAGCACATCACAAGTCATCAAACTCAGTTCTGCGCTTCCCCACTAATAGAGCCATAGCGCAATCATACGAACGGTTGCGAACGGTTGCACAACATCCGGCGAACAAGGCTTCACCCCCAGACCCCCAACGAGATGAAACGAGAACCCTATGCTACGCATTCGGGAAAAAGGGCGCTGGGCGGGAGGGGGAGCCATTGTGCCTGTCAAGCACGAGACAAACCTCTTGAAAGATGCACTTTCGTGAGCCCTGTAGTCATTGATGAGGCTTCAAAAGTAATGTTGAGAACCCCTAGTGCTTCCTAAATCTCTTGCTGAAAGTACAAACTTCTAGTGGGATATGCCTAAAAACGTGTCAATACCTCCCTCTAAACGGGCCAAGCGCCCAGCCGCCCAATCCTCAGCGGCTCGGCGGGGCTTCCATTCGCAAAGGCCGCATCCTGGCTGAAATTGGGTCTCGACTCTTGGGTCCAGAGTGGCACGCTCCTTTCTAAGTGGTTGATGTGGCTGCAGAACGGGGTAAAGGAAAGCTGCTGTAATGTGAGCTTCATTGGAGAGATCGTAAAGGGAACCCCTTTTTCTCAAACAAATATGATAGCGGCTGACTGGCAAAAAGTTTGCAACTAAAACTTGACTGAAGCATCCAAACAGTTGCTAAGGGGCTCCAGCCAAAGAGACCTTCCTTTAAAAAGAAAAGAAAAACCAATTTGGGCGCCGTTTCGGGAGTTGGCACCCTGTTGGGATGGTTCCAAAAAGAGTAGAGAAACCCCAAGGGCTGACGGATCCCCATGCGGCGACCGACCCACTTGCTGTGCCTCGAGCTGAATGAAGGAATGTCCATTCCAGTCGGAGGCCACAGAACCGGATCCAGGGGGAATCATCTCATCTCAGGGATGCGACTTTGAATTGGCAAGGGGAGATGCTGAAAAAGAAGCTGATGTGGATGCACGCAATCCTGCACCCAGGAAATGCCGGAATTGGTATAATCCTTAAACACCGACCCACAACGGTCTCCCATAGTTTCAAAGCGGTGCAGGATTTCGTCCATCCAGTGTAGCTCAAGCGCGGGCACCCGACCGGCACTTTGACTACCTCCCGCGCCTGCCAGGGGTAGATGCACCCGACCACCGCTGCCTGGCTCGTGCTCGCGGCCGGAGTTCGATCTTCTGGGAAAGAAAGTCAGTGGCACGGAGCTTGGATACCACTTGCAGGGTGTATACTGCCTCACAAGCATCGGTGGTAGGCGTTTGCCTCCCGACCACAAAATTCCATATCAGACAGTTGTGCGGAACCTGGGACGTTCCAGAAGAACCAAGTCTTGAAATGTAAAAATCAACGCGCCCCAACGCTGGCCCAGCTGAACCCCCTGCAAACAGCAAAGTTTGTTTGGGTCAAACTGACTCCCTGTAAAATGTTGTAGGAATTGCTGGGGTTAGTGGTGATAACACGGTGTTTGTTTGCGTCGAACTGTGTCTCCCTGCGAAAAGGCCGTTCACGTGGGGAAACCATAATGTTCCCAAGAAGGCAAAGTCATTCCGGTCAGGCAAGCCCAACACCTGGGCCAAGCCAAACAAATCGCGGCGGCTCAAAGGACACGAGGTTCGAGCTTAGGTTCCAACTCTGGGCATATTGGTAGACCCAAGGCTTCTCATGTCGGTGTTTACCTGCCAATGGTCTTTTCACCAACGTCGCCTCTCAAGGACCCCCTTTCACCTAACACCAAGCTTTGGCGTCAGCGTCGACAAGGGGCCAAGTCCCAACCTAATGTCGCACACCCCCGCGAGCTCAAGGAAACGAAGCGGACAAGTGTTGCTTCGGATCGACTCATTCCCTACGTCCTGGAAGATTGGGTGCCTCGCCAAAGACCAAGGAGCATGGCTGTGGAAAGTGCAACAAGTCCTGTGGAATGGGGCATCGGCGATCTGTGCCACATCTTCCACAGCAAGTTAATATCGCTTTTTTTCTGCTAACAAGCAACAATTCACTTTGGGTACCCCCTTGGCAAACACACACGGATGATCATGGCGAAAAAAGGGCACCCTTGTTTTGGTGGGTTCTGCTAGAAGGGAACCGCTAAACAGGGTGCCCCCCACCGTAAATTCGCAAATGGGTGCCCCCCAATCGGTTTTGAAAGGGCCCACTCCCTCTAAAACAAAAAAGACGAACAGGGCCACCCTTGGAAGTCTGAACAAACGCGTCCAGCAGGCCGCCAGCAGGCAAAGGCGCTGGCCGACCCGCGGCCTCCAAAAAAAAGCGGCAAATCGGAGGGCGTTCTTTGGACAACATCGAATGGGGTTTGGGCTGGAACTACCCGGGGGGCAGGGGGGTGGCGGGGGTCTTTTTGTTGAAGGTATCCTTGAAGGGGTAGTTCTGGAGGGAGAGCCATTTGGCCAAATATGAGTGCTTAACTTGTTTCATGACGTCTACATTTGCTCCAAAGCTCCCTTGGTAGATAGCCAAGGGACCAGTTTTGCACTCTGTGGTGTCGTTTCGTGGCGCCCTTTCCATTCTATCTTCCCCCAAAGCCCATTTAGGGCTCTAGACATGGTGATCTGGCCACATGAACACCTCACTTTGGCTACCCATGCTTCGGCACTTTCGAGTGCCTCCCGCAAAAGGGCACACCCCTCCCCCCCACCCGCCCAAAAAAAAGACAAAGGTGGAGTTGAATCATGTGTGGAATCCTTTAGTCCCACACTTTGAGCGGTTCTTTGATCCTCTTTGGTTCCGAGGACCTTTGGTCGGAAAAAGGATCCGCCTGCGCGGCTCCATGGCCATGGCTCCGAGCCACGCTTCGGGAACCCGAGCTGAGCCACGAGGTGGCGAGTGGGGGGAGTCGGGTTTCGGGAGTGGGAAGCGGGGAGTGGGAACTGGGAGTTACCGGGGTGAACCTGGAAATGCGGAAAACAAATCTGTTCAAAGCTTCGTGAGTACTAGATGATCTCTTTTTTTGGGGGGAAGGGTGGGGAGGTGCTTTTTGCTAGTCCGCGGCACATCTCTCTTTCAAGCGAGGTTGATATTGCCGACCCAAGCGAATCCAATTGTCAGGGCCATCAACCATCAAACCTAGGGCTGGTGCAGAAAAAGTGAAGGGCATATGTGGGTATGTATCAAAACCCCAACATGAGAGCCTTCCCTTTGAAAATCACTCCAAAAAGGGCACCAACTCAAAAACAAAACAAAAAAAACACGCGCGCGCGGCAGACACACACCCGTGTGAACTCAGCCAATCAACAGTTTACGCATAGAACAACTGCCGGCAACCAGCCGGGCTTTTGATTCATGTTGACCTCGGAAGAATGAACTTGGTAAAGGAATAGAGTGAATAGTGGTCGTCCCAAAAGTCATCCGCACGCTTATCACAAATGGGACAACCCTCTAGTAGTCGCCCAACTGACGCTGGGAACGATTTGAGACCCACCGGCGAAGGAAGGCCGAAAATGCGAATTGAACCAACCGGCAGATACCGACATGAGCCTTTTGGAATGCATCGCGAAGTCCTCAAAGACCAAGGTTGGCTGGTGTACCAATCAAACAAGTTGATATGGATTGAGTGGTGGATTCCAAGGTCTTTACTCCAGGTGTCCAAACAACGGAGACCCCTGAAAAAAATGACTTGTTGCATTGGAAGCTGCATGTGAGCAGTGGTAAAAGCCCATCGACTTTTGGTTCTATCAACATGGCTGGAAAGGTTTATCTGGGTCGTGTGTGTGTGTTTTTAGCACACCCCCCAACTTGTGCGGCTTTAAAGGGAAGCCAAAAGGACAACCACGGTCCCCTAAAACGTGTCCGGCTGGCCGGGTTCGACTCACCCAAACATGGAATCACGCCCTAGGGCGGCGCAGTGAACCTCTTCAAGGGTTCTTAGATAGTTTCCGAAGCTTCCTTCAGCTGGAAAAGCCGCTCCACCGAAGCTACCCTTCAGGGGGATGGGATATACAGCCACTAGGCCAACATTGGGCATCCCTGAAGTTTGGGGCTAGAAATCATCTGAGGGTTGCAGCGTGACAATACACTGGACTATCTTGCCACAAGTGGTTGACAAAACAAGTGGTTGACAAAAGCTTGGCAAGTTCACAGAAGGAACCCTGGTGATAGGACGTATTCTTCTCACCAAGCCGAGTTTGGCCAACCAGCAGTACGTCTTTCAACTTGCCTGCTCTAAGCTCATTGAGGTTTCCCTTCAAAAAGCCACCGATTCGGGGAGTGGCGCCGACGAAGTTGCACATGCCCTGATGTTTCGACAGCTCGGCTTTCAAACGCCGGTCGAAAACTCGCCACGACGCGCGCTCGCGCAGGGTTGGCCTTCAGGGGTGCGGGACTTCTCGCTACGTGGTTCGTAGTGGGGGGACTGGGGGACTTGCAAAGGTTGTGGGCCAGGAAACAGGCGCCCCTCGGCCTTCGACTCCTCAGTCATACCCTTCCGTTCTGATCATGGCTAGTGTAACACACCCGAAATTGCTTTAGTCTAAGGGGCTGTTTTTGAGCCCCCGAAATCCATCGATCGGACCCTTGCGTTGCCTTACTTCTTGGCAGCTCTCATCGAAGGAGTTTAGTTTGCACCTTCTGGGATAGTCTGGCCATAGAGCCGACGGAACCTACACTTCGGGGCCCTTCAAAAGAACCCTGTTTGACTCACCTCCTGCAAAACAACTTTAGCCTTTTGCCGTAGGAGTGGGGACACACACACACACACTTTACCCGACAAAAGTTGAATTTGACACTGCATTCAAATGGTTGTGTGATTTGGCGCATACCCCTTTCACCATAAGTTTTAAAGAAAAACCTACAGGAAAACCGCCATTTGTCGGGTCCCCCCAATTGGACAGCAGCCAACAACAGGGTCCCCTCAAGGCGAAACCTGCTCAGCACGCCGCCCGGGCCTTCCTGGCAGAACCCGAGAACACGCGAATCAAAGGCTAAACGAGGTCGGTCTGGTTTAAGGTTGGACCCCCAAAAAATGGTGTGCGTCCTGTTGGGCTCCCTTTAAACCAAACCCAAAAAGGGGTAGCCTTAGAAAAAGAAACGGGCGGTGACGTTCTTGTTATTTTGGGTATGGGGAGAATGTGCACGTTCGCTTCCGCCTCAGTCGCCGGAAGCCCCGGGCGATGTGGACCGCATGAACTTTGCTCGATTCTGTCGAGGTTGCAAGGTGGGTTCCATTCAGGGGTGTCTTCAGGGGGACCCCAGAAAGGGTGGTTGTTCTGTTGGTTTCCCTTTAAACCCAACCAAACAGAAGGTTCCTCAAACCAAGACAAACCCACTTCCTGTGCTAACCTGGGGCCGGAAACCCAACCTTGGCCATCTGGCCTTGGCTTGACACCTCCAGTTCTTGGCACGACCGGGAACGTCGGCCCCCGAAAACCGCGGGAGGCATTTCGCCGATTAAAAAGAAGGCGCCTGAGGCCTTGAGTGCAAGGCCACTCCAAGGGGCCACCGGCAAAGCAAGCTCCCCACGAAGACATGTGGCTGTGGGTCAAAAAGATGTAAGTTGTTTAACCCTGAGCCACACCGGCCACGCCCATTTGGCAAAAAGGGAAACTCTCTTTGTGAGCGAAAGACTGATTAGTGGCTTACTTCTCGGGAGGTACAGCATGTCACACGTTTGAGACATTGCAGCCAGAGAGATAAGAACATAAGCCTTTCAGGACCAAGGCACCAACAGCTTCATCGTTCACCAACCCAAAAAGGGTCCCCGAGAAAGTGAGTGTTTCGGGAACCGACCGATGTCCATGTCCTTTACGCCGCCCAAAAAACCCAACCGCTCTGCCATTCGGGCTCTCTTGACTAGATATTTCAATCTAAAGTAACAAGCCCGACAAGTGGGGCTGTGGGGAGTGGGGCTGTGGCAGAAGCCATTTAAAATGTTAGGGCTTATCCTAAGCTTGTCATATGAATTGTACACTATACCCCAAAAGCCTGCATCAAAAAAAACTTGACCCTTCTTTTGAATCACTGTTCGCTCGCTCGGGAAGTTTGCAGCAAAAATCTGCAACATGAAGCGACATGTCATTGAGTGGCGAAACATTAAAGCCCACTCCGAATTCGCCAAAAAGCTGGGCAAGCAAAGTTTCTCCCCAAGCCTTTTCACCCAGCGCTCTTTCCAGAAATTGCTTCAGTGTTTCCCTGGCTGCCATGTGCTGAAGAGAAGCATCCCTGAAGAGCTTCGGGGAGGGTGTCTCGTTTTGAGGCTACCCTCTCTTGTGGAGTGCTTTGAAGGGACACCACAAAGGCATTTTGAGGGCTCCCTGTTTGAGCCAAACCCACATTCCTTTTTTGGGGAGACCCTCCAAATAGTGGTTGTCCTTTTGGATTCGCTTTAAAGCAGGGGTACTCTCAGAAACGACATACCCACACTTTGGGCCATGCTCGGTTGGTACAACAAAAGCGCAGGTGATAGCAAAGTGAATCCGGAGCCAGTGCCGCTCAGCCCCATCATTGGCTATTTTTGCCACGAGTGAATGGGCTACCCCGGCACCCATGGACACGCCAAAGAGTCATGCCTGAAATCTCCACAAAGGGAAACTATGACCTCCATTTGCTGGCGTTCCTTGGGAAAAAGTGTCCAATGGTGAAATCGATTCCCTTTAAAAACCAACAGGGGAAAATAAAATTAAAAAAATGTTCGTAAGCAAACGGAAGATGAGAATTGCTATACTGTAGAGGCAACCCCTCAATGGACCTGAACCACACCCCCCTCACCATTTGCCGCTCCCGTGGCTTCCGTCAAACATACCTCCGGACATGGGACAGGGGGCACCTGCTACGTGGGAGCCATGACTCATTTCTTTCATGGGGTCCCAATATTAAGGGGAATCCTTCACTTGTGTGTGTGTGTCTTGCTTATGGTACCCTTCACACACACACACGCACACACACACACACACGCACACACGCACACACGCACACACGCACACACGCACACACGCACACACGCACACACGCACACACGCACACACGCACACACGTGCAAACGCGCACACGCGCACACGCACACACCCACGCCCACGCCCACGCGCACGCGCACGCGCGCGCACGCGCACGCGCACGCGCACGCGCACGCGCACGCACACGCACACGCACACGCACGCACACGCGCGCGCACACGCTACTACTGCGCGCACACGCACAATCGCACGCACGCACGCACGCACGCACGCACGCACGCACGCACGCACGCACGCACGCACGCACGCACGCACGCACGCACGCACGCACGCACGCACGCACGCACGCACGCACGCACGCATGCACGCACGCACGCACGCACGCACGCACGCACACTTCTTTGAATCTGAGTTGCCTTGGCCATCCTTCAGCATACATCCCTTTGTTTTTCCCAGTTCCACTCGTGCCACCCTCCCTACTTGGTAACCACCATGTGCTTCAAAAAAAGGAGCTAGAGGCAGATGCACCAGAGCTGGAGAAAAAAGCAAAACAAAGCTCGAGCTTCAATTGGACCATGCCCAACGCACCAGAGCAGCCCGATCCCGCATGGGAATTTCCACGGTATTGGAGACAGCTCGGTGCATTTTGCGGACTCTCCAATCGGTTCAAACTCAGGGGCACTCCAAAGATTGGATGGATCCCAAAAAGTCGAGAATTGGGCTGGTGGGAAACCAATGAAATTGTTTGTATACGGGGTGCGCCTTTTTGAGGTTTTCCCTTGGAGGTCTCCTTTTAGTGCCATCGAAAAGAGGGTACCCGCAAAAAAGACACACCCAACTGTCTGCCCTTCTGGTTTGGTGAAGTTCGGAGTAACCTAGAGCATTCTCAAG